AAAAAAAAAAAAAAACATGATAATAATAATCATCAACAAAAAAAACATAATAAGAATCAGCGTTATCAAAAATAAGAATAATCATCACTTAAATAATACTAATGATCAGCAGCAGCGTAATAAGCATCAAAAAAAAAAATAAAATATGATAATAAGAATCAGCATAATCTGAATAAGAATAATCATCATTTAAATAATAATAATGATCAGTAGCAGCACAATAAGCATAAAAAAAAAAAAACATGATAATAAGAATCAGCATAATCTGAATAAGAATAATCATCATTTAAATAATAATAATGATCAGCAGCAGCATAATAAGCATCAAAAAAAAAAAAAAAAAACATGATAATAAGAATCAGTATAATCTGAATAAGAATAATCATCACTTAAATAATAATAATGATCAGCAGCACAATTATAGTAAGACTCATCAAAAATATAAAACTAAACATAATAACAATAATCATCAACAAAAAAAACATAATAAGAATCAGCGTTATCAAAAATAAAAATAATCATCACTTAAATAATACTAATGATCAGCAGCAGCACAATAAGCATAAAAAAAAAAAAAACATGATAATAAGAATCAGCAGAATTGAATAAGAATAATCATCATTTAAATAATACTAATGATCAGCAGCAGCGTAATAAGCATCAAACAAAAAAAAACATGATAATAAAAATCAGCATAATTTGAATAAGAATAATCATCACTTAAATAATAATAATGATCAGCAGCACAATTATAATAAGACTCATCAAAAAAATAAAACAAAACTTAATAATAGTAATCGTCAACAAAAAAAACATAATAAGAATCAGCGTTATCAAAAATAAGAATAATCATCACCTAAATAATACTAATGATCAGCAGCAGCGTAATAAGTATCAAACAAAAAAAAAACATGATAATAAGTATCAGCATAATCAGAATAAGGATAATCATCACCTAAATAATAATAATGATCAGCAGCAGCAGCATAATAAGCATCAAAAAAAAAAATAAAATATGATAATAAGAATCAGCATAATCTGAATAAGAATAATCATTATTTAAATAATAATAATGATCAGTAGCAGCACAATAAGAATAAAAAAAAAAAAAAACATGATAATAATAATCATCAACAAAAAAAACATAATAAGAATCGGCGTTATCAAAAATAAGAA